GCGTGCAGGGCCGGGGGAGGCGGGCAGACTGAGCCGCGGGCGGTCCCACCTCGGCGGGCCCAGGTACATTTGGCAACGACAACAGTACGCCGCTGGGTTTGGTGGATCCGAACCCCTCTCCTCCAGCCGCCGGCCATCACCACGCCACGGGAGACGCGTCGTCCCTGCCTCCCTCAGCACAGGCGCCCCTCTGAAGCCCAGCTGATCAGCAAAGCGCCCACAGCCAGCAGCGCATGAAGTGCCACGTTGGGGTTCCTCCGATTCTGCAGCCCCGTCGCAGCAAGAACAGACTCCCCCAACCACTCGAATAGAGAGGGCTTATTGCTTCTCCAGGATACAGCCCAGCGTAGACGTGATGTGTCCACAGGAGTCTAGGCCAGGATGCCTCAGCCCTTTGAGATGGGGTCCCGACACCCCTGGATTCCAGCCCCCCCTTAGTCTGTTTCCTTCATGGTTCCAGCCCAAGACTGCCCCTTCCTCCGAACCTCACTTCCTTAGTTCCCTCACTGCCCCCAACCGGTCAGACCGGTTGGGTCTTTTCTAGGTGACCTAGGCAGCCTACCTGCTGAGCAGTGCTCCAGACACCGGCCAGTAGGGGTCACCCACAGCCCACAACCCAAGCATACAACCAGCAAGGTACTAACACTACATCACAGCACGTGTCCGCTGCTAGTGCACAGCTGCATACGCCCAGGTGCACAGAACAACACTTATTCTGCACGCAGATGGAGACAAAAATTCGAGGGAATACGGGCAGGGAACCTTGCCAACGGCCGCGCCCGCTGCTGTCTGCCGCAGAACGTGGCCCATCTCGAGTGACACTTCAAGGACGCTCCGCTCAGCCATCCAGCCGTCCGCCCGGCCTGCCTTAGACTCCTGCAGCACTTGGCTTCTTTCCTGCCTGCAGCGCTCTCGATCATGCAGCCACGTGCCATGGCTCCGTCTTGGCTTGGTCCGGTGTTCTGCCGGCCATCGGGACCGGGCATCCTCGGAGAGGGAGCCAGGCTTGCGGGAAGGGAGAGGGAGAGAGGCAGCAGGAAACAATCGGAGACAGAGGAAAGGGAGTCACCACTGGTGAAGGCAAGAGGAAGACCCAACGGGGCGGGTCTGTGGACTGGAATCCTGGAGGCCTCCAAAACCCAACCCCCTACCCGCAACCCACCCTTGCTTTTTCCTTCAGAACCCCTCGGGCGAGAGCTGAGCGGAAGGTCTGTTTCCTGCCTAGCTCCCCTTCGTCCTACCTGCTTCTCCTCCCATCTGGCTTCCGCCCCCGGCACAGGAAAGAAACCCTTGTGTGCCAGCAGCCGCGGGCGGAGCAGCTGCGAGCTTCCTGCAGCCCCGGTTCCCTTTTTCCACCTCCCTTCAGGAAATCCCAGCCTCCTGGCAAAAATCTCCTTGGAGACCCGCCTCCTCAGGCGCTTTCCTCTCTGCCCCCTTGCCCGGGGGCTTGCCTCCCAGAAACGAAAGAGGGGGGCAGGTTAACCACAAATCCCTTTCCAGTTCTCCCATCTGGACCGACGCCTACATAAGAACATAAGAACGGCCGTACTGGGTCAGACCAAAGGTCCATCTAGCCCAGTAGCCTGTCACCCGACAGTGGCCAGCACCAGGTGCCCCAGAGGGGGTGGACCGAAGACAATGATCAAGCGATTTGTCTCCTGCCATCCCTCTCCAGCCTCTGACAAACAGAGGCCAGGGACACCATTTCTATCCCCTGGCTAATAGCCTTTTATGGACCTAACCTCCATGAAATTATCTAGCTTCTCTTTAAACTCTGTTATAGTCCGAGCCTTCCCAGCCTCCTCTGGCAAGGAGTTCCACAGGTTGACTACGTGCTGTGTGAAGAAGAACTTTCTTTTACTAGTTTTAAACCTGCTACCCATTAACTTCATTTGGTGTCCTCTAGTTCTTCTATTTAGGGAACTGATAAATAACTTTTCTTTATCGGCCCTCTCCACACCACTCATGTTTTTATAGACCTCTATCATATCCCCGCTCAGTCTCCTCTTTTCTAAACTGAAGAGTCACAGTCACTTTAACCTCTCTTCATATGGGACCCGTTCCAAACCCCTGATCGTTTTAGTTGCCCTTTTCTGAACCCTTTCCAAGGCCAAAATATCTATTTTGTAAGAATGAGTGTGGAATGCATGATCAGCCAGCAGCAACCTAAAGAGGCAGCAAGGTACAGTGGGTAGAGCACTGAGCTGGGAGGCGGGAGCCCT